TCCTCAAAGGATATGAAATTTTGGGACCAAGCGCCCACAATTTGCCTGACCTGAACAAGAAACAATTTCTTTTTGAAGGTCATAAATACACCACATAAGAAATTTAGTCAACGGAAAATTCCACTTAAATCCCTCTTCCCTTATTCATCTTCTTGTTCAGTCCCTAAGATTTTTTTTTTTGCATTGCACTCCCCAATATAAACTTTCTCTTTCCACCCAACTACCCATATATATATACTCATTATTATTTACCATTTAATTTTATTGCAAAACATAAAAAATTGAAAAAATGTCTTCTCCTTCATCTATACTTTCTCTCTCTCCACAAATCTAAAACCTGAAAAAAAAATTGAATCCGTCTTCAATCTCCGATCTCCCGTTGTGCACAGGACGACGGTGATCCCCATCGCATGGCCAATCGCCGGAGCTCCCGCGGGTCCACCGTCATTGGGCATCTCCCGTCACCGAGCCAACCGCCGGAGTTCGGCTGTGAAACTGTGGCTCACCTTCCCACCATGGTGACAGTGAATAAAACTGTAAGAGTTCTTCAATTTTCATTTCTCTTTCTTTATTTCTCGAATTATTTGAGCCTAGTGGTTTACATTGTTGTAATTTTATTTCTCTTAAAACCCTTCCCAATTCCAAAGGTAACTCATTTTTTTGCTGGATTTTGTGATGGTGAGTTTTTATTTGAGTTGTGTAGGTATATTTGGAGAGTTAAATGTTTGTAAATTTGGGATTGACAGAAAAAATGAAAATAATCCTTTTTTGTTTGTTGGATTTAATGTTGCTGAATTTTATTTTTTATTTTATTTTATTTTTTTGGTTGTGTGGATGGATTTGGAGAGTTAAATGATTGTGAAGTTGGGATTAATAGGGAAATTGATACTAATCTCGAACAATGTTGTTCACCACTACAATAGCAGTAGCGGGCCTTTCTATTTCACTCGAGCAGCAGTGAGTCACTCGGACAGCCCCTCATTGCCGTGAATCGCAGCAGCGAGCCGAGAAAGAGAATAACCGAGAGCCGAGGCCTTCTATCCTATCTTTTTTAGCCGTCTCATTAAATTCTCGAATGAGGTATACGACGTTACCTTCTTCATTTATTTAAGAGTTTAATATGAAGGATTAATTTAAGGCTTAGGGTTCATGACGATGAGACGCACGTTTTCTTTTTTATGCTCGTGATATAAGACTTTTAATTTCAGAATTATATTGATTGATGTTGAACTCTCGTATGGACACCATATTAGCCTCTGAAAATACATATTTTGATGTTTAAGAAGGGTTCGGATAAGTGGTTTTTAATTTTTATCAAAATCGGGATATATATTGCTTGTTCGGAGCCTTGCCAGGTTTCGAAAAATGTGATTGAGGTGTTTCATTTCTGAGGTTTAAACCTCTAAAATATGAGATTATATGATGTTATATACCAGGTATAAGTTGAGAAAATTAAGACTCTTGAGTTATTGATAATCGGGAGAAAAATCACCTAGAATCGAGCCTCTTTTGATGGCTTAAGCGAGTTATTTTTATGCTGCGATTTTTATGAGTTTTTGAGCCTTAATATCATGTTTATAAAACCTGGTATATAATGAGTTTCATAACCCTTCTTAATTTTCTTTGTCTGTAGTTCAAAAAAGCACAGAATCAAGAAAAAAAAAAGAATAATACTTGTTGCAACTTTATCTTGATTTTTCTCATTTTTACAAACCTTTTATTTCAATTTTTTAGGGTAGCCCATGTCGGTGCGCCGGTGCGAGCTTTAATCTTTGAGCGCCGGTGCGATATTAGAGCTCTGAGCGGAGGACGGGCGCCGGTGCGAGCTTTGAGATCACGAATCTGCCACTAATGGAGGACATAATATTAAAAAAAGATGACTAAATGGCAGTTTGACTGGCCAAGAGAAGTCACCGGCGAGAAGACACACATCTAGGGTAGTGCGGCTGGGCGGATATCGGGATGAATGATTGTAATTTTGTGGATGATGGTTTGTGGACAAAGTAGTTTAATGGATGCTGTTTTGGATTTTTTTATTTGATTCCTAATGATACTTGTTTTCTTAATATTAGTACCAGATTTTTGCTGTAAAAGTACTCATTTTCCAGTAATTTGTACTCATTTAAGGAAGTTGTGTTCTTAAACTGATGCTAGTTTCTATTCGTAGTAGTACCTATTTTGTTCACATTAGCATCAGTTTTATGGTGTTTTAGTATCGGATATTGGGTCTTCAGTACCACTTGTAACGAATGTACAAAAAATCGAATTTTGGTCTCAAATAATGTTTAAATGACCCATAATCACTCTCACATTAGTTTCTATGAGATTTAAAATGTTTAATTGAGTTTAATCGCAAATTGGTTATGAACTCGACACACTAATGAAAAAAGACTACTAATAAATACTCTTCATCATATTCTGAAAATAGTATTAGTTTTGGACAAAATAGTACCGCATCTTATTCTACGTGGTACCTGCTTTTGATAGATTAGTACCTACTTTTGTGAAGAAAAAGTGATTATTTCAATTGTGGTCAATATTTACAAAAAGTAGTACCAGTCATACTGTGTAAGTCAGTACCACATTATGGAGAGTTAGTACCCGATATCTTGTCCCTAGTACCACTTGTAATGAACAAATAAGAAGCCCAAATTTCAGTCGCAAATGATGTTTATACGACCCATGATCACTCTAGCATTAGTTTATATAAGATTTTAAATGTTTTTGATTGAGTTTAAATGCAAATTGGTCATAAACTCGATACATTAATGAGAAAACACTACTACTAGACTTCATTTCATTGAATGACACACTTCATCTCATAGAAATCATCATACATGACTATTTCAAATTATATCTATATGTTTTCAATTCCACTTTTTTTCATCCAAATCACGTGTGAACGATCCACGTGTCATGGTAGACATGAAAGATTCAAGATTTTGCGTTTTTTATAATAGTACCAGTTCTGGGAAATATGGTACCACATCTTATTCTGCGTGGTACCTGATTTCGATCGAATAATACCTACTTTTTTTAAGAAAATTTGATTATTTCAATTTTGCTCAACATTTACAAAAAGTAGTACCAGTCATAGTGTAAGTC